TCTCTCTCTCTCCCTAATGCTTGATTGATGGGCAGCATAAAAACCTTGACTGGGTTAGATCAATGGGTTGCAATTATAGCAACCAACCAGTCAGGGGGAAGGAAAAAAAAAGGGGCTGGGAGACCCACGTTACTTTGATGGACAGGGAGGAAAGAGGGGAGGGGAGAAGGAGAGGGGGAGAGAGAGGGGGGAATCAGAGCAAGGGTTCATGGGAAATGGAGTTTCCGGCTTCCTGCCTCTTTTTTTGCGATGGCAGCTGCCGCCGCTGGTTTCTCTTTCCTTCTGGGGCCGAGGCTGATCATGCGGGCCAGGGGGGGGCTTGGCTTGCACTGCAGAGCCCAGCACCCCCAGTTGAGGGGGTGATGGGACCTGGAGTCCACAGGAGTTTCCTTGCTTTGTGATGCAATTCATAACATTCAAACGTTTTGTGGAATCCTTGTGGGGGAGGGGGACAAATCAGTTTATTATTTAACACCAGCATTTTAAAATCTATCTATCTATCTATCTATCTATCTATCTATCTATCTATCTATCTATCTATCTATCTATCTATCTATCTATCTATCTATCTATCTATCTATCTATCTATCTATGATACTGTATTTTAAAATGGTTGATTGCTGTAGAGATGCTATGGATCGACTATGGGGAAAAAGGCAGCACATAAAAGAATAAATGAATGAATGACTTAATTAATTAATAAGATTGAGAGGTGCTGCAGACCAACCCCCATCCACAAACCTGTACTGTATTCTATTTTCATCTAAACAGCTTCATCTCTCCATGTATTTCTGATTCCTTGGGATTATAAAGTGACCACACATTTATGCACACATGTACCCATATAGCTGTGGTTCAGAGGCTGCGAGTTTGAATCTTCCTGGGTGAGGAGCCAGCCCGGGGTGGCCTTAGGGCAAAAGCTGCATCGTCCCAGAAGAAGGGAAAGGGAGAGCCTCTTCGGAGGCCTCTCTCCCAGGAAAGCCCCGGAAAGGGTACATCATAAATCAGAATGGACTTGAGGGCACACAATGATGATAGTGATGATGATGGAAACAGAAGAAAAAGATGCTTCCTGGGAATGGCTAGGAGCTTATGGAGAAAGCCAAGCAGCCCTTTCAGTCCAGGGTGTGATTTAACTATAACAGCCATCTGTGGTAAATAATCACCTTGCTTTTGATGAAATGCCACCAAACATCAAGCAAAACCCAAATAATAATAATTATTAATAATATTAATAAAAGACACTTTACCATCACTGTAGGTTTGACAGAAACATCCCTCCCATCTTAATATTTGGGACAATCATCTCCTTTTCAAACTCTGGAAGGAGCCCAAGTGAAGAACCACTCTGCCCATTTCTCCTGCAAAGGTTTACTGGGCAAGGCACTCAAACTTCTCTTTGAAAAGCCTTTAACTTTTTTTTTGCTTTGAGAAAGAAATTTCGCTTTATGAATCCCGCAAGACATCTTTGAAGGACCCTGTACGAAATCCACTTCTCTACTGGAGCTTCTCTCTGTTGGCATGAGCCCTGATGGGGAGGCTTCCTGCTTCCAAACGAGGAAAGTGACATAGCGCTAACAGCGATAGCTACGAATAAGCCACATGCATGAGAGGGAGAAAAAAAAGATACAGAAAGTCCCACACACAGAAAGAAACGTCACAAAGTGAGACAAGAGGGACAAGTGGATGGTGGGGAAAATAGTGATCATGTTTTGTGGGAAATGTGGAATTTGGTGGAGACGAAGCCGGGCCAAAGCATAGTTTAGGTCTCTAAATGCTCAGTTCGATTCCTCACTGTGCCCTCTTAAAATGGGCTGGACTGGATGATCGGTTGGGTCCTTTCCAACTCAGCGGTTTTAAGATGGTGACGATGATGAATGTGAGAATTTTTGAGAAATGCCAGGGGGCGTCGCTCAATGGAGGTGTCTTCACCAGTTTGCTAGGGTGCTGTTTTTAGGGTGGGGTGGGTGGGTTTGAAGAACCAGAGAAACCAGTTTGGATGCAACCAAACATCATGGTTTTAAATGTGGGACCGAAATAACTGTGATGACGTCCAGCCTAGAGCAGGAAAAGGGGGAAAATTTCCAGACAGGGGAACTGATATCTTTTCTCCAGGGTAGCATAACATACTTTTAAAAATCCCCTTTCCAGAATTATTTGTGTTTTTTTTCACCAGCCACAAAAAATTGTCCTTGTTGATGTAGAAGACTTTTCATTGTTCGCTTGCTAAAAAAAACAGGAGAAGAAAAGAAAAGAAAAAAAAATTTCTCTTAATTTCAGTGCATTAAAATCCTCCCACTCTCAAGAAAACATATCAAGGCGACTGGTTCTGGTGGGAACATTTTGCACAGAGAAAAACAAGAAGCTGGAGAAGAAAGCCTTGACTTAGGGGAAAAAACTACAAGACCCAGAATGCACCGCAGCACCAACTGCACCCCCTCCGCTCTCCCTCCTCTATTAAGTCTCCAGCCCCCTTCTCCCTCCTGATTGGCCCTCCGTGCCTTTGACGTCAGAGACCCATGTGGGACCCCGCGCCGTGGATTGGCCAGCTGTCCAGGCGGGCGGCAGCCAATCAGCAGCGGCTCAGAGGGGACGGCTCTTGCAAAAGCAATTTAAGGTGGAACGAAGAAGATTGGTGGAATTGGAATTTTTGTTTGGCAGAAAATGAGGATCGCATCCTGGAGTGCATGTATGAACTTGCAGGTATGCATGCACGTGTGAACTTGCTTGAGAAACGGGCAGTTAATTTTGGTTATTCGCTGATCTATTTCTTTTGCATTTTCATTTTTGGATGTGTTTTTTTTTTTATGCATTTCATAGATGCGGTCCCTTCCTGGGAGATGTTAAACCTCACAGATCAGCCAGTCCAGCTCCTGCTCAAGAAGGCCCCGTGGGGGATTCGAACTCCAGACCTCCCAGAGGAAAATTGATCATTGGAAAACTTATCCACCCACCCACCCCTCTCTCTCTGAGAGAGGGGCTGGACCAAAATCAGCCAGTGAGTTTCCTGGCTGAGTGGGATTTGAACCCGGGTCTCTTGGCTTCTGCTCTAGTCCTACACCACAGTGGTGCTTTGACTGACTGTTACGTTTCATCCCGAGGAGAGCTGCAGGCTTCCAGGCGCCTGACATTCGCTCACACCTGCCCAGTCGTTGTTCCTAGTTGCAAGGGGTCGGCAACCTGGAGCCCGTCTGTCAAATCCGGCTCTTGGCCCACTTGGACAAGATCCAGGCATGTGAAATGCCAGAGTCAAGCCAGACACATTCCAGATCCGGAAGGGCCCTGTAGGAGAGAGACAGGCACTTGAGGGAAGCCTTCAGAGAGATAGCTTGGGTGTGTGTGTGTGTTTGAAGTCTTTGGCTGCAGAGCCAGAGCAAAGCAAAGTGTGCAGGGCCTTCTTGATCAGGGGCTGGACTGGATGATCTTGAGGGTCCCTTCTGACTCTGCCGTTCCTCTTCCACCAAATATGGGACGTTTCTTCTATCTGTCCCCACACCCCGCCCCCCAGGTCGTTCCTGTAACTTCAGGACATTTTGAAGGAAACGGTCACTGGGCATGCAGATTTCGGGTTTGTCGGAGGAAAGCTCTCCACCGTCTACAAAGCTGGATCTTGGCACCAAGGAGTAGGGGATGAAGATATAAAACCACACAAATATTGGGAGCAAAAAGGAGGCAGGTTTATTTCTTTGCTTTGCCATCTGCAACTCCCAGCCGGTCAGATATTTATTTTTCATATCAGTGATTAAAAAAAAAAAACAAGGGAGAGAGGAAATCCCAAAAATATTCCTATTTTCAAATGTTTAGGCACAAATTACAAATCTGTGGAAGTGGGAAAGTTACAAGAGATCTTGCAGGGAGCTGTGGGGGAGGGGGAGAAACTATATTTGAGGATTGCTACGAATTTTTGCTGCCCAAGAATTTAGCGAAGATTTTCAAAAGAAAAGACCGGGAAATACCCACAGCAGACCTGGAGGTTGGGAGTTTGAGTGGGCCTTCTTGAACAATGTGAGAACACTTTTGTTCCTTTGCAAACAGCAGGTTCTAATCTTCAGGAGAGACCAAAAATTTGCCCCCCTTTGCTCTAACCACTTCCTCCCGCTGCCTCCAAGGGCTCTAACTATTAGGCGCCACTGACCCCTTCCCGGCACCTGTTGTTTTTTTTTGGGGGGGGAGAGGCTGTTCTCTTTCCTAGACCTGTCCTGAGCCATGTGGGGAAACCTGTTCTCTCTTCTCCCCCACCTCTTGTTTTTTTTGTTTGGTTTGGTTCTTAGGGTGAAAGAAAGAGAAGCGAAGCTGGCTCCACCTTAAAAGGATACGGGTTTTGATAGATTTCCCTCCAGGTTGCCAGGATGCACTTCTTATTCCAGCCAGGGAAGGCTGTTGAAACCCATCCAGGTTTTTGGCTGACCTTCTGTTCCAGCTTCCAGGCTGCCTGCCCCCCCTCCTTTTCCACCCCATTCCCTCTCCTCTTTTTTGCCACCCACCCACCCAAAAAAATTGCCTCTTTTTTTTTTCGAAAGGAGATTATCTCCAAATTTTGCTTTTTTTCATCTTCCTGTTAAGTGCTCTTTAGGAAGCAGGGGGGTGGGTGGGATGCAAAGCCCACATCCCCGTGAGATGGGTTTTTCCATGGCAGCCGTTGCAAAAGACACCTTTCTCTCCTGCCAGATGGGTTTTTAATTTTCCTGAAAAACCCAGGGAGGGAGAGAGAGAGAGAGAGAGAAAGAGAGAGAGAAAATCCCATTGACTCTGTGTTTCCTCTTCCTTGCATTTGATATTTGCAATATTTTTTTTTGTTGTTTGCTTGCTTGCTTGCTGAAGAAGCATACGGGTTGACAGCTGGACGGCTCATCGAAAAGAGGCTCCTCTCATTTCTGGAAAAGGGGGTTTGCAAACCCCAGAATGTACGCTCAAGGTCGCCACTCTGTAAGTACCCCCGCTTTGGCTACGCTGGGGAAAGGGTTCAAAAGAAGGTGTATTGGGTTTTTCTTCAAAGGAGGGAGGTGGCATTAAAACCAGAAGAATATATTGACTGATTGATTTCTCTCTCTGTCTTTTTCTTTTTAATGGGTACTCTTTGGGGGGGGGCAAACCCAGGATGTGGGAGTTGTTTGCTTTTTTTTTAAAAAAAATCTAAATTGTATCTTATGGCATTGTATGGAGGAAGGGAGGGAGGGTGTCATTGCCGGGCCGTTCTGTGTAGCTTTGACACCTTGCACAGGCTGCAAGGGGCTGCTTGTCTACTCGGGAGTATAGCTCCCTGGACATCCAGCTTGCCCGGGCTTCAGGTCCGTGGGTTTTTGCATGTGAGAGCATCTCTTTCTGCCTGGTTGGCTTGCTCTGTTTGTGGGCACGCTGGGCTGGCTGGCGTGGTGTCTTTCCCTGCTGGGAGATTTGCTTGCGATCCTTTCAAGTTTAAGACATGCCTGCTCAGAATGAAGTCTCTCTCCCTGTTTGAATGAGGCTTACTTCCAGGTGATGAGGTGCGGGTACATGCCCTGCGTCTTGGAATAATTCCGATACAGTATATATCTTTTCACTTTCATGGAAAGGGTCTGCCCTGTGCCTCTGCCAATTTAATAGCATCCTCCTCCTCCTCCTCCTTACTTGCTAGTGTTGCTGTTGTTATTATTGTTATTATTATTTTTATTGGGGGCAGCCGTCCCCTGAAGAAGTCCCTGGGAGGTCACGTCTTCCCTTTCTATTAAAAAAAAAAATCTGATCCTCACCGGGTTGGGGTGTGTGTGGAGAGAAATCTGATTTGTTAAACAACGCACGGAATATATATACTAAAAACTTCATTTGTGAGCCGCCTGGGTTTACCTAATGAGGACAGAGGCGGCACAGAAATTAAATTAAATTAAATTGGAGAATACCGAACTGCACTGATACCAGAAGTATGATGGTTCTGAATTCAGGCTGAATTCACAGAGGTTTTTGTGTTGTTTGTTTAAAAGAACCGGGGTAGCGGAGAAAAAGAACTGAGTGATGAACAAGTTACTTTTCAAACAATGTAACAAGTTCAAATTACTTTTGAGAACTACCTTTCCCACTCTGCCGAAAAGCACGGGGGTGGTTTAAAAAGCACGGCGCCCACCTTATTTAGGCACCACTTTCTCGGGAGGCTGACCCATATCCTCCCTTCATGGTGCCACTGCTTACCCTCAGGATGTGCTGTGTCTGATCTGGCCAGGGGCCCTGGGGGTTTGCCATCTCTTGGCATGGTCTCTCTTGCTCCAGGGTCAGACTAGAGGACCTCAGAGGATCCCCCTCTAGCTGACACTCTCCACGGTGGGTTCCAGGGTGGATCCCTGTCCGGGAGGCAAGCCTGGAGTGAGACAGCGAGGAGCTTAGGCGGGTGCGTGTGATTAATTAGTTTGCTCATTAGGGGGTTTGCTCTCATCTGTATGGGAAGGATTTTGAAATCAGTGTGACCTAGCGGTCAGTGGGTTGAGCCAGGATTTGGGAAATCAAGTCTGATGTGCTCTCTGAGGTCTGAAACTAGCCCAGGGTCCTCGGCCGGTCTGGCCCTGGCCTCCCTTACAGGGATGGTTTGAGGAGGAAGAAGAGCAGAGAGCAGTTTAAGTAGTCTTGGGCACCCCGGAAGGGGAGAGACAAAAAGAAGAAGTGGCAGAATTCACCAGAAGAATACACTGAGCTTTTAATTGTTACAAACACTATTTGATGACTTCTCCCATTCTTTGACCTCACGGCCTTGGGTTTTTCAGTCTGGCCAGCCGTTCAAATTCTCCGTTTTGGAAATCTGCGACCGGATTAAAGAAGAATTCCAGTTTCTCCAAGCCCAATATCACAGGTATGGCGCATGCGAAAAGGGGTGATGATGGGATGGAAGGAGAAGGTGGCCCACAGGAGCGAAAGGGGTCCGGCTGCCCCCATTTTTAGCTGCGAAGTACAACCTCCCCCTTCAGTGGCAGTCTACCTTGGATTTTAGGCAGGTGCTTTTAAAGGCTTGGATGCAGGTTTGAGACGGTTGCTCTGGTTGTCTTTTCGCCAGTCCTCAAAGCTTTTTTTTTTAAAGCTCAAACAGGGAGTAATGTGTGAATCGTAGTGCAATTATTCTAGAATGAACTGAAACAATTTTTTCTCTCTCATGAAACCCTGGCGAAATTTGATAGGGACAACTTTTTGGCCCATCATGGGCAGAAGCAAGTTAGACTTACCTTTTTTTTAAAAAAAAAAACCCTCTATTTCTCTCTACACCTTCAGGTTTGCAAACTTTTCTGTTAGGAAGAAGGTAAGGCTTACTAATGGGAAGCAGTAGGAGAAGAGGAAGAGTGAACATGAGAGGGACGGACTTAATAAAGGAAACCACAGACTGGAATTCTCAAGATCTGAACAAGGCGGCTAATGATGGGAGCTTGTGGAAATCAGTAATTAGTAGGATAATCTATAAGTTGGAAATGGCTTGACAGCACAACAGCAAACGTCCAAACTCCCCCTTGTTGATGCCTCCTTTTTTCCAGCTTTGGTTCATCCTCCATCGGCCCTCGTTGTCTTCATTGGTTATTAGCAGGAATGATCAATGAAAGAGGGGAGAGAGAGAGGTTCACGGTTCTTGTTTCCTCTGCTCCTCTTTCTCCTGTATTTTTTAAAAATTCCCATTAAAATACAAAAAAAACCAAGAGCAGAATCAGGACACATGGGGGTACGACAGCTCAGGTCATGGAAAGTGAAGGCTGTTTCCCGTGACGATGGGCTGTTGCCAGAGGTGGGTCTTGGCCGAGAGAAAGGAAGGCTTTATGTCTGAGAATTATGCCAGGTTGGGATCAAGTCCTCCGGTGTGGTTTCCCCGTCCCTCCTCCAGGGGGCGCTCTGGGCCCACCTGCCTGTTTGTCCAAAGCCTCCTGCCAGCTGCACCTGCTCTTTTCTGGAGATCCCCAGCTGGCTTCCTTTACTGGGATTCGAACTCCCAGCCCCTGTTGCTTCAGCTGGGCGCTCCAACCCACTGAACCCATAGGTCCCTGCTGCTCTCTTTTCCCGTAGCCTGAAGCTGGAATGCGAGAAGTTAGCGAGCGAGAAGACAGAGATGCAGAGACATTATGTGATGGTAAGCATTTGCTTTTCTTTTCCATTTTTTTCCCCTCTGGGGCCTTTGCACCTCTGAGTCCGACCATCGGATTTGGGGTAGTGTTGTTTTTTTTTAAGTTAAGAAGCTGGGGTGTGTGGGAATCGTCCAGCCTTTTGGGGGGGGAGAGAGACATTCCCGCAATTATCCAAGAGTAACGATTCTCCTTTAAAAATGAGGCAGAGCCCCCCCCCGTGGCTTGGTTTAGGACCCCAGGGGGCTTCGTGAAGAGGTTGGGGGGACCCCCAATGACACCCCCCACCTTTAAAAATGAGGCAGAGCCCTCCGTGGCTCGGTTTAGGACCCCAGGGAGCTTCGTGAAGCGGTTGGGGGGACCCCCAATGACACCCCCCCACACACACTTTGTATGGCTGGATCACCCCCTTCTGTTGAACGGTGAGAGACAAAAGCCAAAACTCTGACCGGCTTGGTAATAAGGACGCGATCCTGTTTGATTTGGGATCGTCCTGCGGAAGTGGAAACAGACCCATTTCACAGATGACGTGTTCGAATTAGATTTAAGATTTCTAAGATTGGGGGTGAACCAAGCATGATATGGAAAAAGCATGATATGGAAACCCCAAGATGACTGCTGTGTGCGGGAAGACTGGGTTTGTTCCTACATTGACTGGGTCGTCTTTCCCCAGACAAGGTAGCCAGAAATTCCGTTCCTCAAACAAAGGGACCCGATGATGATGATGATTATCGTCTTCGAACGGCAGAGCTGGAATTGGGATCGTCAGGTCCCGCTCCAAGGCTTCTCCGAAATTCCTAAGAGTGTCTGGACAGGGTTGGCAGGACCAGCTCATGGCTGGTATCTTACCGTAGATGGTTTCGGTCTCTGGCTAGAGGCTGCGAGTTCGATTCCCTCACCATGCCTCCTGGACAGGGGGCTGGGCTCAGTGATCTATCGGATCCCTTTGGAGAACTGAGCTGTCTACAGAGTTTGGGGTCTTCTATGAGCGTGCGATGCTCCTTTTCCGGACCGCAACCACCCCGATGGAAAGCGGAGAGCCGTCTGGCCGCCTCGTGGGTGAATCAGAAATAGGGCAAATGTTCATCCTTCCTCAAAGTCATGGATGGTGGAACTACTCTCCCATCATCCGTCCCGAGTTTGCCAGGAACTTTCATCAAAAAATATCACACAGACCTGAATTTAGGAGAGCTTGTCCTTATGTTGTTGTGATGTTTTTAAAAGATGATCTAGATAAGTGAGACTGGGAACAATGTTTTTTTTTTTGGTTGGGGGGGCTGTTGACACCCACTCTGTCCTGATGTCCCCCTCAAAAATTACCGAGCGCAGTCCTTGGTCTGCTAAGAAGGCGTTGTCCCCCTTTTCTCTTCTCCTTCTCTCCCAGCGGTATTTTGTATTGATACGAGCCCTATTCTCCCAACCCTCTACCAATAGATTGCTTCTCGGTGCGGTTTTACATCTGTACTAGATGACCATCTCCCGCAGCCGGAAGGTGGGGAACCCAGGGAGAACCATAGCATCAAAGAATCGTGGAGTTGGAAGGGGCCTCAAAGGCCATCCAGTCCAACCCCCTGGCTCAGGGCAGGAATATAAATCCAGGGGTATCTGCCAGGGGGTTGTCTAGATTTCCTCTTGAAGGCCGCCAGCATTGGAGCGCTCACCACCTCAGAAGGTCCTGGGTCCCATTGTCGTACTGCTCTAACAGTTAAGAAGTTTATCCTGATGTTCAACTGAAATCTGGCTTCCTGTCACTTGAGCCCATGGTGGTGTGTCCTGCACTCTGAGATGATCAAGGACAGATCCTGACCCTCTTCTGCCTGACAACCTTTCTGAGTATTTGAAGAAGGTTCTCCTCTCTCCCCTCCGTCTTTTCTCAAGGCTAAACCTGCCCAGTTCTTTCCAGTCTTTCCTCCCAGGGCTCGGTTTCCCGTCCCCTGATCATCATCAGCCTTCTTGCCTTCCTCAGAACTTGCTTCAGTGTCTCAGCATCCTTCTTGAAGTGCAGTGTCCGGAATTGGAACCAGGACTCAGGATGAGGCCCAACCCATGCAGAATAGAGGGGGGCAAGGACCTTGTTTGATTTGGAAACTAACCACACTGGCGCTTTTGTTTTTTGCAGTTACATCGCACTGAGTTTTCATTAATGCTGATTATTTTTATTCGTAAGCTCGATTGGACAGGTTTCCATGAATGTACGGTTTCTCTGTGAGAAGCATACCTGCGTTGAAACCTTTCCGACCCCCACATACTGTCAGTTTCACGGGCAACGCGAATGCCACGTTTTCCATTGGGTGCCTTGTATCTTTTGGTTGCTTGTTTGTTTTTTGTAGTGGGTGCATATACCACCCCCAGGCAAAGGGAAAAAAATAACACTCTGATAAATCGAATTTGCGAAACGGAGCTGGAACCCGAAACCAAGAGGCTCCTTCTTTCTAACCTGGGGTGGATTTCCTTTTCTTTCAGTATTACGAAATGTCGTACGGGCTGAATATTGAAATGCACAAGCAGGTAAGGGGCATACAAGGGACTGGTGGGTGGTGACGGCATTGGAACAGGGCAAGTGGGGCTGTGCAGAGCTTTGTAATGGTGTCTGTGGTGACAGAGCGTTTGAGGATGGGATTCTGATGTCTGTCTCTGTGTGTGTGTGTAAACGTCCTTATTTTCATCACTGCCCCCTACCGCTCTCCCTTTGATCCTGGAGATAATATTTCGCCCTTATGAATGAAGACCAATGACTGCTTTCCTTGACATATATTTGCTAAGTCTCCCCTCAAAACCCCCCGAGGTGGCAAACTGGCACTGCTTCATGTGGCAGTGAGTCCCACTGTCGGACCCTGCCCTGTAAGAGAAACCGCTCTTTTTTTAATCTTGAGTGTGGAACAATCTGAGGGCCGTAATGCCCCAAAGTTGTAATGCTTCTAAGCATGTCCAGAGTGCCTTTCCTTTTGGGATGGGAAATGAGAGAAGCAATAGTGAAAAGTTGCATCTCCCCATCCCCACTTTAAAATGGAATTTAAAAGGTTTTTTATGGCATTCCAGCCTTTCCACAGCAGCTCGGCTACCTAAACCAAGCCGCTGGATACCCTTTGCCACAGATCCATGTGGGGTTAATGTATGCTCAGAGGTGCCCTTCTTTATACCACAAATCCATTTATTCCAGGTTTCTGTGGTTTGGCATTGCTATTATTCTTTTTTTAAAAGCAGGTTCAAATATCGTTTCCCAGTTTTAATTAAGCCCATCCTGCGCTGCTTGGTGAGGCTTGGTTAATAATGGTGATTTCCCAACCCAGTGGCTCTTTGTCAGGCTGATCTAGCGCAACAGCGCTGTGGCTTTTATCTATTTATTTTTTAAAAAAGATTCCCTCCCCTTTCATGGTCACGAAGGTGCTGAAATCTGTCGGGCCTTTGATGCTCTTTTGATCTGCCAGAGAGGGCCAAGCGTCCTTTGCCCGGACCTCGCTTTTGTTCCGGTGGTAACTCGCTTCCCGTCTCTGGGTTTATCAATCCACTCATCGCGGGGCCATCTGCCAAGGGAAACTAGGCTGGCCCGTTGCCCAACGAAGTGGCAACCCAACCGCTGTCGGCTTCCAGCGGCTTCCTCTTTGCCAGCTCGTTTGCCGCCCCCGCTCCATGCCTCTTCGTGCTGCTTGCTCGGGAGTAGAGAGCCCTGGGTGCGAAGCTCGGTGTCGGAATCAAACTCCTGACCCCTGGCTCCACAGCCAGGTCCTTAACCCACCAAGCTGCCCAGCCGGCTTCCCCTCAAGATGAAAATGCCTGCCCTACACTTTCCTTATGAGCAGGATGAATGGTCAGCAAAAAAATGGCTCGCCTTTTAGCCTTCAAGAATTTCTTCATAATGGAATTCGGCTCTTGTGGCAGTGAGTCCCACCATCAAACCCTACCCTGTAGAAAAAGGTGATGATTTGAATTTGGGGGGTGGGAGTGGGATTAAATGACCCTGGTTCGTTGCATTCCAGTGAGAAAACTTCCTTAACTTTGTGGTAGGTGAAAAAGGCAAGGAAAGTCAGAATACCTAGTGAGAAGGTATTGATCATGGATATCTAGGCTCAAATCTCTGCTCAGTCATGGAAGCTTATGGGTATGTGCATGGGGAACTGGTAAAACCACTCCTTGAATATCCCACTTACCTTGAAAGCCGTATTAGGATGACAAATAAATAGCCCACGGATCCCGAAGTGACACAGCAAAACCCGAAGAAGCAAAACAAGACCAAAACGTTGTGCTTTAAAGACGAACTATCCTGTTTTAGCGTGAGCTTTCATGGACACGTCTAGGAGTAAGGTCACAAATTAAAAACTCAAGAGGGGGGGAAAGGTGGGAGAGAAGAAGTATATATGAAAATGAAAGAAAAAAGGAGAGGAACTGTGTGCTTTAATGTAGGGAATATTGGCAGTTTTGGACCTTTGAGCCTTGTGCTGAGAAATGGGCATAGTGGTGTTGAAGAAAACAACAGCAGATAACAGTGCAAGTGTTACAGTTGGTAGTGACTTAAGAAACCTTGACTGATATTCAGTCCATTTCTATGGGTGTCCATCATGTGTATAAATGTTATCTCAGCTGTTTCCCTCTGTATTCTTGATTTGTAATGTTTCTGTTTTAAAACAACAACTTTCATATCTTTTACAGAGTGCCCGGATAGATGGCAATGGTTGGTGGTTTCTGATTTGTGTCCATTGACCCGTTTCAGTAGAGATTTTCCTGTTAATAGCATAGATCACATTAGCTGAGGAACAAGTGATGGTGCCTTTGATACTGTGTGTGGCATTGATATCTCCCACAATTGTGTGGCCAGAAGAGATTTGTGGGCAGAGCTGGCATCTGGGTCTGGGCCACAGAGTTTAGGGTTTAGTTCATCCTGTCTCGTTCTCCTTTCCCTACTGGTCTGCTGCTTCATGATTTATACATCTTCCTCCTTATGGGTCCGTAGCCAGTCCGTTCCAGGTTTTGGCCCAAAGTTTCCAGGAGCTGTCCAAGGAGTTCACTGTATGAGCTCTCCTCCCCCACTTCATCTCTTCAGAGAGCTCCAGGAAAGTTCACATTAAAACCCAGAGCGGGTTTGCCAGCCGTTGAAACCAGGAGTCACCAAAACCCCAAAGAGATAAGATTTGATCCTATTATGCACCTAAAAGTTACAAAAAGAGAGTGGGGATATTGCAGCGCTGGAAAAACAACATAAAGGCAAGTCAGAACTGATTTATAGCAACCTAAGTGGGATATTTAAGGAGTCGCTTTACCAGTTCTATGCCCTCAGTGAACTTCTACGGCTAAGCAGGGATTCAAACCCAGGCCAAGTCCTAGTCTGTCATTCTGTCGAGTCCATGGAGAGGGAGAAGTTTTGCTCCCTCTTTGATAGGACCAAAGTCCATGGTGAGCGGACAGAGAGATAATAGCTCCTGTTTCAAAAGATTTGTGAAAGGTTGAGCTGCTAAACAAGAAAGAAGCTTCACATCAGCTTTGCTCAACCTGAGTGAAAGGGCTTGAGCGTTGCGGAATGAATTGCATTAAATACAAATTTTCCCCGCTATCTCTCATTAATTTCCCTTTTTTTCAGGCTGAGATCGTTAAACGGTTAAGCGCCATCTGTGCTCAGATCATCCCTTTTCTCACCCAAGAGGTAAAGGAGCCGGTTGAGGAGGGGCGAAATGGACACCCTGACTTCTCTTGCATTTTTCACGTTGAAAGGAGTTCGTAATGGCACACCAGGAGCTTTCCGTGGTGACATAAATCATTTTGGTACCTTCCCCAACAGTTAAGCAACCAAAGCTCAGAAGTAACTAATTTCCCCAAAAGTAACTAGTTACTAGCTAACTATAACTAGTTACTAGCTAACTGTAATTGTATTTTAGGAGGAACTAGTTACTTCTGAGCTCTGGTACTCCTCAGACCTCTAGAAAATGCAAAGCCAGCTAGGTACCATCAAACTAAAGTGTTCCTAAATTATTTCCTGACGAGTTTCTAATTTTTTTCCCCTGCCATGTTTCTTTCCGCTCAGCACCAACAACAGGTCTTGCAAGCTATGGATCGGGCCAAGCAGGTCACCATGGGGGAGCTGAACAGTGTTATTGGGGTGAGTGGCCTGATGCTGGAAAAAAAAAGGGGGGGAAAGGTATGGCCCAGGGGACGTGAGTAGAGCCATTTGACATTAACTGTGACTCACTCAGTTATTTTTGTGGGTCGAGGAACTTCTGTTATTTTTTTCTCCAGCAGCAGCAGCTCCAGCACCTCTCCCACCATGCCCCGCCCATCCCCTTGGCCCCTCACCCTTCGGGCTCTCAGACGCCCAGCCTGGCGGCCGTCAGCAGCGCCTCGGGGCTTCTGGCGCTCTCTGGGGTTCTGGCCGCCCAGGCCACGCTGGAGGCAAAGGACCACCGAGGCACGCAGGAGTCTGAAAATAATCGAGGTATGAATCGGGTTTGGTAAATTGGCTAAGGGGTAGGACGGTGTTTGGAGTTGGCAGGTCCTGAGTTCGAGTTCTAGGTGGACTGTAGCTCATGGGAGGGGCTCCTGGAATGAGCCTGGCTTCTCCCCCGTTTTGCATAGCTCCCTCTCCACACCTAATTTCCACAGCCTGGTAGGATGGTGTTATGGAAGGGGAGTGACTTATTTTGCATAGCCGCTCCCCTTTGTCTGCACCGTCCCTCCCCCTTTAGAATTTCAGCTCTTATTTGGGTTGGGAGAGGAAGCCGAGAACTAAGTTTTGATCTGGTCCTTTGTCCATCATCTGTTCATCTATCTATCTGTTTTGACTTTCGCTATCATTAATTTCTCCATCCATCTCTATCTCTTTTTATCTGTTTATCATCAAGTTGTCCACCTATCACCTAATTCAAATCTGTCGGTGATCTTCTTGTCCATCCACTGATCAATTTTGATGGATCTAATTCGCAATCTATAATCTATTTATCCACATCTATCAATTTCAATCCCACTCTTTTGGTCTATTTAACAGCTTGTCTATCAATTTTCATCCTTCATTTTTCTATAAATCATCTTGATCCATCATCTATTCATTCACTTATCTATTTTATTTATTTATTTATCATTTTGCTCTATCATCTGTTTATCTACCTTCCTGTAAATTTTGATCTATTATTGTACCCATTTTTCCATTAATCATCTCAATCTATTATCTATTTATCCACTTTTCTATCTTCTTGATATATTTATACATTGATCTATTGGTTTTAATCTGTCTATATACTTTATCAATTCTGATTTCTCTCTTTGGATCTACCATATATTTATTAACTTGTCTATCAATTTTCATTTATTAATCATTTTTCTATAAATCACCTTGATCTATCATCTATTCATCAACCAATTTTGATCTAGTAATTGATAATCTTGATCTATCATCTATTTATCCACTTATCTAACAATTTTGATCTATGTCTAAGCTATTTTATCCATCAATCATCTTGCTCTATCATTTATTTATCCACTTATCTGTCAATTTTGGTCTATTTATCACCTATTTGTCCTGGTATATATCAGTGTGGATGGATAGATGGATGGATACATGGATAGATAGGATAGATAGAAAGAGGGGGGGAGGGAGCTGCCTATCATCTGCTTATTCACTTATGTATCATCTTGATCTATCATCTGTTTAACTTTTTATGTATCTGTTTTGATCTGTCATCCATTTTTCCATTTCATCTATGTATCATGAAAGATTGTTTTTATATCTGTCTGTCTGTCTGTCTCCCGGCCTGTCATCTTTATTGTTTGTGTGTGTTAAAAAGAGCTCTTTATGTTAAAAAAGAGAGGAGGGTGTCTGTGTGCAGCTGAGGGCTTTGCCCCAAAGTGCATACAGTCAATGTTGATCTGGAGGGGTGGGGGGAAGGCATGGGGGAGACACCACAGTGGGAGGAGGGGAGCAAAGGGCAGGCAGCTCAAAGATGATACCTCACCCCCCCACCCCCTGCCCGCTTCCTCACTCCGTTGCAGCTGTTCTTTAGGGCTGGAAAAGCGTAGCCACGAGGAAGGGAGATTTGCAAGGGACTAACGACGTTAATTCAATCTCTGTCATTCCGGAGAAGTCGAGACTATTTTTGAGCTGGGGGAGCAGCTGCCCCTCCGTTAATGGTTATCCGGGACAACCCACGGCATGGGGTGGCTGAATCAGGAGTGTTGGGACCCAACATGAAAATGGGTTTACCCATTTTACCCCCTCCCTCCAAAATGGGTGTCTATGGAGGGGGGGGGAAACACTTTGCATGTGGTCAGGAACACGCTTGTTTTTCTTTTCCCTTTTTCTTTTTGTCGGGAGCTAAGATCTGGCAGAAGAAAAGAAGGCGCCCTCAAATATTTTCCTGTCCTCTGGACCCCCTTGGTGGTCCAGGTGGGTTTGACTCTGGGGCAGAGCTTGGGGAAATTCATTTTTGGACTACAATTCCCATAATCCACCACCAAACATGTCTGGAGGAGAGCTGCAGTTCAAAAAAGCTAGCGTGACCAAGTTGTGCTCTGGAGTAGCCTGTCCTGTCTTGTCATGGTACCGCGAGGACCTCTATGGGCCATGCTCACCAGGCTGATGGGAGTGGTAGTCCATCTTGTCAAGATCATGTCAGGCCCCTCCCTTGACATTATTGAATGAATTTCAAATATCTTTTCTAGCATGAAAAAGAACTGAAAATAAAAATGCAACTTTTCTGCTGTTGGCCTGGTTCCCAAGCTCTTAATTTGTAAAGAGTGCCAAATCTCTCATTTCCAGCAAACTCTCTTTATTTATTTCTGAAAGGATCTAGAACTCTGGACAGCAAAATATCTCACATCAGAGGCATTTACTGGATCAGATTCCTCAATGACAATAAATTATTATTATTATTTACTGGATCAGATTCCTTAGCCCCTATGTTTGTCCCCTTGCCTGTACTGTATAGGAAAGGAGTGTTCCGAAACAGAACCAAATCTGGTAGAAACGTCTCTTAAATTTTTTTAAATGCCCAGGGCACAATGTCTTGAGCTTTCTGGGCAGAAAAACTTCCCCTTCGCTGGGGAATCTGAAGCGAGCCCCAAACTGGACTAGATTCAAGGAGCCAAAACGGCATTTATTGGCAGCATGCGCCGGGAGATGGATGTGAAAGCTGGAGGCTTCCCAGCTCATGCATAAGGGACTTCAAACTGTTGTCCCTTATTACGCACGGCTTTGCGCGCAGGCTTGATCAAAGCCAAAGGGG